TTGTAAGCACTGAGATATGGGGGAATTTACAAATTGGTATTTTAATTCACAATTTAAAATGTGACTGAAGCTGTATAAAGATCAGGCTAGGCAGGGTTTCCTGTGTATGATGTAAGATTACATATGAAAATGAATTTTTATGTAAGTAAAAAAAATAGGAACTTACAAATAACTTCCCGTATGAGAAAAACATCCGGGTGGTGTGGTTTTAAGGTACTTTGCTGTCATTGAGTTCATTTAGTTGCAAATCAGTTTCATTTATTTAGTTCCTCTATTTCTTTAGTTATTGAAAATCCATTTTCTGTTTTGCATTGTAACAGAAGAATCCTTGAAGTCCAAAATACAATTACAGTGTAGAATCAGATTGATACATTTAAGTTGTTTAATATAAGCAAAATGCCACTTGTCACTGAAACTCATTTATGCTTTTATAGTGATGTAGTTCAGAGGCCTATATGACATTAGAAACCTACTGTTCTGGGATGAGTGCTCACTCATGTTGAAATAACTGTAACAGAGAAATTCAGGAATGATAGATGAACATTGGAGTGTATTGTTAGCCAGAAACTGATAAGACTAAACTTTAGAACACTCAGCACAGCTGTCATTGAAATTTCCATAATCATATGCTTGCATTTTGGCTTTTGTTGGAATAAAAGCATAATGAAACATGGAAGTTTTCCAGCAGGTCAACTATGAAAACTTTTAATATGTTTGATCAATAAAAGCAAGCAAAATGTAGCAGTTGTGACAGTTGCCCTCATTGCTTTGGAAAATACATTTAATTCTCTTTAAAACACATTGTTTTACCCAGAAGTATTTCTGAACTAATTTTGATTAAGGAGCTTATGAGCATTAATTTTTTGCATTGTTTCCTATTCTTTCTAGTAATGATTCAGCTGTCAGTTTTTTCAGCCAAGATTTGTCCATGAAATCTGTTTTTTTTCTTCTTTCAGGAGGGATCTTGGTTGATATGCAAAGATACGAAGTATTTCTGGTTTTTCCGTGACTAGTTCTAGTAATACCTTAAATTTGATCTTTTTGTATCTCTTCTCTTGCATTTCTGTGGCATTAGAAATCTGTGGCTTGAGAATGGATGTAATTTAGGATTGTGAGTATGATGAATGAAGTGTAGAAATCAGAATTTCAACACAGTCACCACGTATTCTTAGTGAAACACTTCTTAAAAAAAAAAATCCAGTTGCTTTTCTATGGGAAAGCAGAGGGCATTTCTATGAGAAGTCCTTGGAGCAAAACAGAGATGGCCATGAACAAAAATCATATCTCTGAACAATTTGAAACTTAAGAAAAGTTGAACCAGAAATCCTGTTTATGTAATAGCACAAATGAGCTCTCATATTTTCACATTCCCTTTTTCTAAAATTTATAAGTTACTGTTTTGATTTTTTTCCCCATGTGGTTCCCTACATCTTATATGAATTCTTTTCTTGTCTGTGTTCAAGTCTTTTCTGCAAGCTTTTCTCTGCTGTCCCAGTTTGCGTGTTATCAAGCATTTACATGCACATGCAGGCGTAGAAAAGCAAGCAAATAAATAAAATTAGTATTTGCCAGTTTTTAAAAAAAGTTTTGATTCTCAAATTTGCCTCCGGGTATGCATTTCGTATAACTGTCTTGGAGCAGGGACCGTCTTCTCCTGAACAGTGTGATAATACCTAAAGGTTATTTTTGCTGCTAAAGTAAACAGACTGCAGGGAAGCATTTCGGTGTTCAGATGTTTCATTCACCCTTTTGAGGATAATTGCTGCGTGAGCCCATGCCTAGGTACTATCATCTGCTATGCTCCTGCTGAGAAGTGTTTTTTTGTCTCTGCATTGAACACTCTGGAGAGCTGCACATCTGCACTTTTACTGATCCTAGTGATAGATACCACTAATCAGGGAAAACCTGTCCTCTCACTTACTTATGTGTTATTGTTAGATACATTACTAGTTCTACACTTTGATTCTCACTTTTGTCTTGTTTGTCTGAGGAAAGAGATCTAAGCAGCTGTTGTGGAGGAAATTATTCATAGGTTGCTCTTTTAGAGACATTAGAAGAGTAATTTTTGATTATTTTATACGGCTATTATGCAATACCTATCCTAAAATAAGAACAGCTTTTATTAAAACTTCAGAAAGAGAGGTGTTTTTTTTCTAATAACTATTGATCTCTTTGTACATGTTCTGATCTCCCAACAAGAAGAAGCCTCACCTTTCTGCGCTGGTGCGTGTGAATGTTACAACAGGGACTGATAAGCGAGTATCTCACTCATGGTTAGTTCTGCAAGACAAGTATTGGTCCTCTGATGACAAGGCTAGTATAGCCTGGTGCTGCAAATGGTGTTTATGTTTTCACTGCCTTTGGTACCAGTCTGCAGATTGTCAGGACAAAATAGAAAAGGGAAGGAACTACTTCATTTGAGAAGTAGTAGTGCTTTAGATAACATTTTACTTTGGAACTATTAAGGTGGCTTGATTTGGAAGCTGATAGTTCCCTGATGATTACAAATAGTCCTTATAAGCAATTGCATCTTCATGTTAGTTTTCACAAATATACCAAGTACAGACCACATGATTATTGATCTCAGTGTTGGTACAGTTGTCAGTAACAAGGCCTCTGGCTGAAAGTTGTTTTTTTTTATAGGTAAAACTTAAGCAGACTTGTGTGGAGAACCTTGATAGCAACTGAATGTCTCTTGGCTTGCTTCTCTATGGTGTTATCAGCCCGTCATCTGCATGCTTCCATTAACATTGTATCTTCAACTCACTTGAAAGAAAAATGACTTGCCTGCAATCTTCATTCAAGTACTTCTTTCTGCTTACTTGACCTAATACATTAGAAGTTTGCTATGGAGGCCTCAGCAGGTAAAGAGGAAAAAAAAACAGGCAAAGCATCTCCTGGAAGCCTTAGCGTGTTTATCAGGTTAGCTAAAGCCATGACACCCAGGAGCATCAAAGAAAGGAAGTACTGATGGCTTTCACTGTTATGATCTGAATGGTAATGAATTATTACCTTCAAAGCAGAGACAATGTTGGCGGTATTCCCAAGTGGTTGTCTATGAATTTAGGATGAGAGAATGGAATGGGGTTTTTATTTTTCAGAAAAACTGCTTTTTCTTTTTAACCTTTTCTTTTCTGGGTTTTGTGGTACATCCCTTCAATTGCAGACAGCTTGTAGAGGATAAATGCATTTTCACATACCAGGATCATGAGATTTTTAAAACTCCTCTCTTTATATTAGATACACTTAGTATTTTTGTGGGAGTGCTTAAAATGTATGAAAATAATCTTCAGTGCCCCATTAAAAACCTGTTGTGCGAAACAAGTACCTTTGTGGTCACCAGTTTTTGCCACTTCTCTCCTCCCCTTATTATCAGTGTTGTTTCCTCCCCTAAAAGGAGTATGGGAATACATACTGCTTCTGTTCACATATCAACTAGTGTGTTTATGTGGTAATGAGATTTTGTTTTGTTTACAAGTGGGCTGCCTTTGAAGATAATTCAGCACTCCCCTGTAACTCCTCCAGTCCAGAAGAAGCAAAATCAAAATCACCTCTTCCTTGAAAGTACATGTCATACATCTCCATCTTTGTAATAACATTGGAATCATCATATAGCAGTTGGCTCTGATATATTGAACAGACACAAATTGAGTCTGACAGGACTGGTGTCTCATGGACTTTGCTGTCATTTGAAAGGCTGGCATGAAGATGGTAACGATGAAAGGGGGGAGCTGGTGCCTTCAGCATTTTGCCTATGAAGATTTCTTGGGCTTGTATTTTTTGATGGCAGTAGCTGATTCAAAAGATAGTTTTATAGAAGGCATTCATAACAGGCATAGATTTTGACCAGATGCTCATGTCTCTTCTTCCTTGCGTAAATTCTTTTAGCATTACACTGTTCTGAAAATGGGCTCTTCATACCACCCACAAATCTGTAAGATCTATTTAGTGGAATGATAATTAGTATACTTTTTTTCTAGCCTCTTGGTTTTTGTCTTTACTGTGTGGAAACTGCTTGTGTAGTAATGAAGAAGCTAGTATCAAACTTGACAAAGTTTATATGTTACAGAATTTCAGAAAGTATAATTGCATTTCACGTGATTTTAGTGACAACATCAGGTTGTTTGACAGTCTCTCTTTTATTTTCTGTCTGAGGGAAAAATATTTTAATATTCCTTAACTTCTGTTAGTGCGGGAAATTTGGACAAGAATGAGACACTGTTTTCTCAAGACAGGTACTTGAGCTGCAGTGCTCCCAGTGTATCATACTCAATTATGCATCATAATAAACGAGATGGATTGAATTGGCATATCAGCCCTTTATTTAGTACTGGATTTCTGTTTCTCTGGATATGTACAGGAAATCACGACAGGAATTTTAACCTTTGAATGTTGTTAAACGTTGCAATATGTTAGCATTTGATGTCAAGCTTTAAGAATATCTCGGGAAGCAAGTTTTGCTGTGTTATTCTTACCAGATGCCAGGGCATCAACTCCCATTATTCTGCTTGCACGTGGATTTAGTCTGGATACTTAATCCGCTTTGATTTCCTTCTTACAACATGAATATTCCAGTGATATATTACACTTAAACTTCATCAACAGTGTCAGTTCCTGTGCTTCAGAAGGTGCTGTTGAATACAACTAAAGATTCAGAATGCGACAGATGCTTGATTATGATAGTAAAGGTGCACTGAGAAATATGTTGGAACAGTGCTAACATCTCGTGTACCTCGAATCTTTGTGTATATACCAGTAGCCTGAAATGAATCATGTTTCTTTTTCTTTCTGCCTTACCCTTTTGTCTTTTAAAATTGTTTTGCTTCAAATTGTGAACGCTTTGGAAAAAATGAAATAGAAAAACTCTGTCCTATTCTTGCTAACTGTATTTTTATCTATTTCTTCTCTGCTTTACAGGCTCTGAAAATACTTCATCTGAAATTTCAGACAGGACAGACTCGCAGTGGCTTCTAAGCCAGTGAGAACAAGGCTGCCAAAGCATGCTGGTGCCAAGCTGTCGAATGATGCACGTAGTCAGGCCAACGGTGGTGCTCCTGTGCTTGCTCCTCTACGCTGATGCTGAAAGTAAGGTTACTCATTTGTGCTTATGTCTTGGCCAGTTTTGTTTTAAGCTGGTGGTTGCTAAAAGTCTCGAAATGAATCTCCTTCTGAGTAATTCTTAAAAAACTGTGGGGTCATCTCTAGATCACAACTAGTATTTGAAAAGGTTTATTTATGGAACTTCCTGACAATTTTTTGTCTAAATGTATCGAATGGTTCATGCTAAGATGGTGGAAGCCATTGCCACAGACCTACATGGTCAAAACAAATGTCAGTGTTGCTTACCAGACATTGGTCAGACATTAAAGACATCTGTCATTCTTTGAATATTTATTTCTTAACTTTATTTTTTTTTTAAAAAAGACATCCACATCCCAATTAATATCCAGTCCAATTAAAATTCCAGTCCCTTTTGTAACTGTCACAACAGCTGTTCTAATGTATTATTTCCGACAGCTGTCGCAGAGTACAGTATCCAAACAAATCAAGCAGAACTGAGAACTTAGTGGCTGGCCTAAACGTGTGACAATTCAGTTAGGAAAGGCACCTATGTTTACTTGTACTGAGGGGAAACTGTTGGATTTTGGTCAATTAGTTTACCTATTAATGAGAAGATAATATCTTCTTTTTAATTAGGAAGTCATTAGGTCTGCCTTGTTTACATGTGTTCCTTCTCCCAGCTGTCCTGTGGTTTCTTGCAGAAGTAATGTGCAAATGAGAAAAGCCATTTGCTTTCCACCTGTTGATCTGCAGCTTTGCTACAAGCTGACTGTTAGCATTCACTTGATTGAGGGATATTTTCCTGTTGAATCTTCCTGGCTCTATGCAGATACATGGCCAATCAATAAGTTTGTTCCAGCTCTGTTCTGAGAAGATTTCTGTGTTTTTTTCACACACGTGTTGAATTAAGTAGGAACATAGAATAATAAAAACGGTGTTAATAAGTTTGGATGAATCAGTTCTCAGTAAACACATATTGAAGAGTTCCTTATTACTCTACTTATCACCTTTGCTGCAGGTATGCTAAGTTTCAGCAGTAAAAGAGATACGAAAACTTTCCAGTTTCATGCATAATAAGACTTCCTTCCTTTAACTGTTCTATGAAAGTGAAGTAAAGGGGGGGGGGGGGGGAAAGGACAAAACATACATGTTTGTTGAATACTGACAGCTGAGATTCCTTGGCCCCTTTCCAGTTAGATAATGACCAGCTGGGATGATTGTGTCTAAGGTGATGTCAAGGACATTTTAACACTTTAGTGAGCAAATAATTAATTGGGAAGTGGACCTATACGTTGAATGGCTTTGCAGTTTCAGTGCTCCACCTATTTTAAAAGTTGTAAGAAACACAAAGATTGTCTTTTTGTGGGAGTTACGCTCAGAAAGAGTTTGTCAAATATTTAATATGCACAGGCTTCTAAGTTGTGTGAATAATTATATACATATCTACAAATGGTATCCATTATGTGGTACAATTTAAATTGTGTGTAAATTCATGAGTCCGCATAATGTTGCATTTATCTTGTGAGTTGTAAATTAATTTTTTTCTATTTTACCAATCTCTTTGATAGTCAGAGTGGCCACACTTTTGTCTTACAAACTCTAATTTGTTTATTTGGAAGATATTGTGAATCTCCTCAGACACAGATATTTTGTGACCTGGGTGAGAGACAGCACATCATCCATAAACCTCCTGTTTTCAGACACATAGAAAGATGTGTCGTCTTCTTCCATGCTTAGCCCATCTTGCTTGAAGAAATGTTCCTGCTGTTCTGGAGTTGGTCTGCCCTCTGCTCTTACAGATACTCTTGGTCCTGTTTGTATAGCTCTACCTAAAAGAGTCCCAGACTCTACTTTTGTCCATTGCTCTTCTTGAGTGTCAGAACCATATTCTTTCCTTTTAGTGGGGAGAGGACACAGAAAGTGAGACAAAGGGAACAAAATTTTTGTTCCTTTTTTCCTCTGTCACCGTGTAAAGGCTATGCTTTCTTTTTTTCCCCATCATTATACTGTCACTAACATCACGGTACTGCAAAAGAGAAGGTATATCCTGACATTGACACTGCATTGTATTCTCTCTAGAGTAATTTCAAATGGATAACAAACTCACAGTCTTCCAGAGTGGGATCCAAGTAGCAAACTGACTAAATGCTATTGAAGAGGCTTCCAGTGGTAGTTCTTAGTACCCTTCTGTTTGTATACAGTCTCCACAGTTGAGGGAGGGAATGAGATATCTGTGTTTCTCTCCATCATTGCAAAAGACCTCAGACTCTGAAATGTGTTGGTATGGGCTGATAAACTCTCCTGTGGCTGCACCTTCAAGGGATAAAGTATGGAAGTCCACCTTATCTGGTGGGCTAGATGAGTTCACTGTGCCCCTTTATGTGTGCAAGCTATATTTGATTTTTACTGTAAGCCGAGAAACTAAAGTTACAGTTGTCTGAGCAAAGCAAGCAAAAATGAAAGGTGGTAAAATTACCTTTGCTCTTTTACCTTTTGTTATTAGTATGATGAAGTGTTACCTGTAAGCATAAGAAGTGAAAAATCTTGAGAATTACAGTCTTTTTTAGATGCCTTCATTTATGTTTGCTATTTGTTGTTTCTGTGCATGCTGAGAAGATACTACAGAATTCACTGAGGAAAGAAAATGTTTATTTGTCCTTTCTTTGTGGAACGGCAGTCTTCTAGTGTACAGTGTTTATCATTGGGTGTCTTGTTCTCAGTGGTGTAGATGGCAACTGTGTTAAGGCAGTGCTTCACCACAATCACTGAGATGTTAGTAATATAGCTCAGTTTGTCATAAAGAAAGTAATGGTTTTTTCATGTTTTCTAAATGAACTGGCAGAATAGTAACTATCTAGAAGCTTTCTGCTGGTTCATCTGTTTGAAAGGAAGAAGAATATATGTTTCAGAGACTCTTACCTAACAGGTTTCTTCTCAAACTATTGAATATGGTATACTATTATCACTTTCTGAGTGTAAAATTAATCACTGAGGTCAAAGAAATATGTGAAATGTAAAATGCTTCTAAAAGGGTTATTCCTGGTCTTTCCTAGTATCCTAGTTTTTGAAAATTAAGAGTCTTAATTTGTAATAATCAAATCAAATATTCTCCTGCAGGTAGACTGCATCCCACTTTTCAGTAATTAAATTGATTGTCATACATCCTTTTCCGTCCTGAGAAAGGCCTGGTCACTAGCATTTCAAAATTCTTTGCTGCATTTTGTCTATTTAATGCTTTTCCTTCATTCTTGATTACATTGCTTCTGCTCTGACATTTTTCTTTTGATAATTCTTTTGAGATACTCTTTTAGAAGAGAAGCCATCATTCTTTCTTGCTTCAGCAGATGGGTTTGCAGCTGACTTTAAACAGACAAACAGAAATACTAACCACAGATTTCTTGTATTTTGTTTCTATGCCTAATTGTTTGAAATGTGATAATGCTTAGTTTGTTCTCTGGCTGCTAATGTGTATGTGTCAGTTAGCATCGTGCTGTCTTCTCTAGATCAGGTTAAGGAAGGGATAAAACAGTTCTGACAGGACAGTGATTACTAATAACAGATGTTGGTGCAATTGAGACAAATTCTTATTTAAATAGGATCTAAAGACAGTAGTTTAGTATTGGTGAAACAGATTTTTCCTGTTTAATTTTTTTTCTTTTTCTGCTTGATTCTTTCATTTTGCTTTTAAGGGAACACCTGTGTTTTTCCCTGCTGAGACCATTTTTCCCCTTTAAAAGAATTTTATGTTGGAACTGAAACATATTCATGCAGTCCACACTGAAATTTTTGTTTCTAGGTATTTGTCTATAACACTAAGCTAACCTAGGCAGATCTTCTAAAGCAATCAACTTACAGAAAGCAATTACATTCTAGTAAGTCTTGCAACTAGGCTTACATGGTTTGCACTAAAACCCCTCTCTATTCCAGAATAACTTCATAAGCACTATATGCGAGCAAGCCCAACATGGAAATTACTTATTTATACATGTGCCTTTGGTAACTGAGACTAAATTTGTGTCATATTAAATTTAGAGTACAATTTTTTCTTCAAACAGATTGTTTCAATTATTCCTTTCAATTATGGGCACTAGAAGAAATATCCAAAGATAAAATCTTTCTGTTATTTATTGTTAATTTTTACAGTATCTTCTATCTATATATTTGTGCTGATAGCATGCATTTTATGTAAGATACAGCCCATAGTTTACATTCCACTTTCTTCTAGTAATGTTAATAAACACAAGAGAGTTGAAATATGGGCTGCTTTTTCAGGAAAAAAAACAAGCTTATGTTTTTCATAGGTTTTTGTTCGGGTTTTTTTTTTCAGGAATTTTTATATGCTTTCTGCAAGTTCAACCCTAGGACATTCTTCAGTTAATTTGATGAAAATTGATATATGCTACGGTGAGAGTAGTTTTATATTGCACTTATTTAATATGATATTAACATATGTCAAGTAAATCACCCATCAGTTTCCAAAAGTTTACGTTTTAGTGAAAGGTGGGACAGCTAGTTATGCCAAGTCATTTTAGATGCATTCATTTCGCTGTGCAGTGAAGTGTAGGCTTTGGAATATATGTGATAATTGAGATGGAGAATCAGGGAGAGCAAAAACATTGTGATCATTCCAAACATACTGACTTAGTTGCAGAAACTACAGGCAGTATGTCTCTTTGCATAAAGCAGGATTTATCCAACCCTTATTTTTCAACCTTACATCGAAGTAAATTTGAGTAATTTAATTCCAAGAGTAGCCAAAACAGCCACCATATCTGTTTAACTTGATGTAAATTATCAAATATTTACAGCAAAATCATGACCTCCTTGATGAATAAAATTTTCAAATTCACATAATTTTAAAGTACATGCTGTGGTTATCTCTAAATCTCTACATAAAATAAAAATAATTTTGAAATGTAGTGTGAACAAGGATTTGTATGTATTTTGTAAAGTATAGTTCAGAATTAAATCAAGAGAGTTTTTAACTTAGAATACACTGAAGAAAAACTGCAGAATGGTTCTTC